ACTCACCATTTCATTAAGAGTTTCCTACAAAGAGCCATCTAAGGGTTTTCAAACAAAAAAGTTTTCAAGCATTCAAGATATCATTTACATGTTCAAATTAACCATTACAAAATTCATTACACAAACTATTGTTCTAAGCCTAAATCCTAATATCCTAAACATCTTCATGCTTCCATATCCCTGCCAAGTATAAATCTTCAAATTCTCCCCCACTTAGCTCAAACTACAAGGTTCTTTTCCTTGGTATTTCTTCATGTCGTACTCAGCCTTGTACCGCCATATTAAAACAGACAGGAAAAAATCAAGTTAACCGTAACACACAACGGGTCAGCTCATAAAATCCAAGGTAAATAATTAACTAACATCCATCAATTGAACAGCCAGCCCTGCATTTAACAATAAACCAAGCCCCTGCAAAGTCAGTTCACAAAACCTGCAATATTAATACATATCAGGTCAGAATTATCATCCCAATATCGACTCAATTCCTACCAACTCTATACAATCAGGCCTGCAGTTCACAAACTAGCAGTGTGTGTGTCTGCAGGTGGAATAACTCTTGGAAGCCTCAACGAACTGAAAGTAAAATGTCAAGGCTGAGGAAATTAAAATGCACAAGACAAGCCATAAAATGCAAAATATAAGAATGCAGGGTGGTGCTCAAAATAGGAAAAAACATAATTATAAAGAAAAGTTCATTCAATAACAGAAAATGCAAGTTCACATTGAGACATCCAAGCAAATGACCAGAATATAAAATCTCATAACTTTTTCCAACTAACAGCCTAAGCCCTAACCTCTGTTTCAGTTAACCAAAACTATAATAGATTTACTAACAACAAAAATAAACCAGGACTAATTCCAAACCTCTTAACTATCGTAACGAAATTTTTCCCATCTTTTCAACAACCCTGCATAACAGAACCAATTAATTCTCACCCCCTCAACTGTCAAAAAACCAACTCCCTCTAAGCATAACTGACCTTCTAACCACCAAAATAGAATTCCAACTGATTTCAGAACTTCTAACTATAACCGATCCATGACAGAAAAAACAGAAATAGTCTAACCGAAATAAACTAACAGCTCCAACTAACGGAATTATCTAACCACCTCTAACTAACTTCTAATAGTTTGTAACTAACCTTGATCTCACTGTTCAATCCCTAACACCCTCCTAACCGACTAACAACTCTTTTAACTCTCCAACGGAATTTTCTAATCGATTCACAATTCCCAACCAATTCTAACAGATTCCAACTGGCCCTCCTAACCAATTTCTAACAAACTTCGTAACAAACTTCTAACAGAAGTGGAAATAGAAGAGAAGGGAAGGAACCAGAGGATATTACATATAACAGAAAGAGAGAGAGAGAGAGAGAGAGAGAGAGAGAGAGAGAGAGAGAGAGAGAGAGAGAGAGAGAGAGAGAGAGAGAGAGAGAGAGAGAGAGAGATAGAGAGAGAGAGAGGGGGGATTCACGATGGATCATTCATTCATACAAAGCAAAAAACAGAAAGACGCACCTCCTTACTCTCTCTGAATCATCATTTTGTTCAATAACCTTCTGAAGAATTCTCATCTTGTTTTTTCCAAGCTTCAATACTTCCGCAATCCTCTTCATCTATGAATTAAAAATCTATGAAATCTCCATCATCTTTCTTCATCACCTTCATCAACCTTCATCAACCTTCATTCTCAACTCAACGACCTGCATCATTAACATGAAGAAATCGCAGCTTCATCTACCTTATGTAATCGACACCAACCACACACTACATTCTTCAATCATCATCATGTTCATCCTTCAATTATCTTTAATCTTCTTCGCCCTCGATTCATCTTGTGAATCGTATTGCAGCAAGCGTGGTATTCTGCAAGAATAGAGACGAATCGCAGCATCAAGATTCATTGAGGATCGTGATGGAAGATGTGAACAGAAGCAAAAGTTGAAGATAAAAGAGAGGACCAAAAATACCTGATATTATCTTCATCAAAGGTACATGGATCTTCCTCACTTTCGATCAATCTTCATACGATTATGGAGAGTGAGAAGAGAACGATCGAATCCCCATGGATTTAAATGCTGAAACTCAGGGATGAGCACCTAATTTAAGATATGAAGATTTAGGGTTCCATTTTATTCTTCCGATTTGGTTGTTCTCTGAACCTTTGAAAGAGAGTGGAGATGAATTTGAGGTTAGGGAATCATCTGAGACGGAGGTCCGCGTCTGAATGAAGGACGGGTTGATGGATACGGCAGAGCTCGTAGTGCAAAGTTATGGAAGTGATAAGGATATGCGGCAAAGATCGCCGAAGAAGGGGAAGTCATAAGTCATAGAGATACGAGTTCGGATTTGAGTTGTACGGAGAAGAAGGAGATGAATCAATGCGGATGAAGGATAAGCAGATGGAAGAGGTGGTGAATCAGAGAATTTTGGCATTGTTTGAAAGTTTGGAAGGAGAAGAGGGTAGGTTCGCACGACTTGAACTGTCACACTCTCTAACCCTTTCACACGTGAAACGCAGAGAATTGGGCTTGGAGTCTAGGCTTGGATAATCTGCTTGGGCTTCTGCGCATGTACACTATCTCTTAGGCCCACTATGTTTTTTGTTTTTGAAGATAGTGTTGCAAACAAAGAATGGTTTCATGGACTGGGCTTAGAATCAGGATCTGGATTTCTACTACACCTCCTGCTTATTGGCTTGCACCTTCTGGAGTTACTCTCTTAGTATTTTCTTTTAATTAATTTTGTGGATTGTTTAGATTTTCTTGATCTTTTTCATTACATGATAAAAATAATAAAATCAAATATAAAAATTTGTTAGATTTTTCTTATTTTGATTTTAGGAATTAATTCATGGTTATCCGATTATTAGAAATTCGTGATTCACCTTAGCTTGTTGAGATTTGAGTCTTATGCAGGTTTATTATGAGATATGCAGATGCGCTTGAGATTTCGATTATGATTTATTTTCGCATCGATGATGCTTCAACGCTTATTTTGGGCGTTTGATTTCTGACTCTTTTCTTGGATTGGTGAAGCTTTTGCGAAGATCGTCGGGTTTCTTTGTTTTGATACGCTTTGTTACGAATTAATATCCATTTGGTATTTTCTCTTGTTTATCTCATTTCGGGCTTTATTACTTTCTAGATACCATGAGAAGTAGTAAATAAAGAGCGTGCGCTCGAAGTCGCTGTTTAAAGACCTGTAGCAGGCATTCCGCACTTCATTTGCTATATGTGTTATGCTTGTGTTTGTTTCTTTGGTTGTTGATCGATGAGTCACTCAATTTAGGAATTGAGATCACGACTTTGCTCTCAGTGCATGCTCCCTATAGGATTTTATCTCTTTCCTTTATTTCTTGTTGATCGATGAGTCACTCAATTTTGAAATTGAGATCACGACTTCGCTCTCATTGCATGTTCCCTATACGATAGTTTTGTTAGACTTTCTTTGGTATGCTAACCTAGATAGGATCTCTCTAGGTGTGCTCTCTTAAGCTTATTAGATTGTTTGCTTTATCCTTGTACATACCATGTTCCCTTAGGATGCGCTTGCTCCGTTCGGATGCAAGTTAGACCTTAGGTTACAAACCATGCATGCTAACATTAGGTAGACGTTTCCCTTTTGTTAATCCAAATCTTAGGACTACCATTGTATGATAACATTAGGTTTACAAATAGGCTAGTCTCCCTTAGACCCTTTTCTTCCCTTTTTTTCATCCTTGCATCTAAAACTAAAACTTCTTTTCTTAGTAAATAAAAAACATGCTAACCATACTTAAACCCTTTTTCAAGGTAACAAAAAACAAACCAACTTAAACCTTTTTGTGCGCCCAAGCACCATTTCTCTAAAACCCTTTTCAGGTAAGGACATGATTAATTTACTTTTGTGCCAACGCATGAGTCTCCAAAGGTCGAGCTGCGGCAGAAGTCAGAATTAACATCATCCATACAAAACACAAAACAAACAAAAACATGTGAGCCGAACTACAATAGCTCTGATTCCTCAAAAAGGATACGTAGGCATTGGGGTAGAGCCCAAGCGAGTACAACTTTATTTTCCCTACATTATTTTCTCCTTTCTTTTGCATGCATTCTCCCTTTAGCAGTAGTAAACAGTAAGCATAGATTAAACACACCCATAAGATAGATAACAAGAGTGGATACCGTAGAGTACTAGGGTGCTAATACCTTCCCCTCGCGTAACAGAATCCCTTACCCGATCTCTTGGTTGCAAGACCGTGACTTCTCCCTTCTCAGGTTTTCTCGATGTTTACCTTTCCCTTCATGTGGGATAAAAGACGTTCAATGGAGACTTCATTGTTTGATGATTTTCAGTCGGTTAATTCAGCTGGCGACTTCACTAGGGATTGAACTCACCAGGTGTGCCAGCTGAAACAACCGGATGAAAATCATCAAACAATAAAGTCACCATCGAACGTCTTTTATCCCACATGAAGGGAACAATAAACATCGAGAAAACCTAAGAAGGGAGAAGTCACGGTCTTGCAGATAGTCCAAGCAGATTAGCCAAGCCTAGACTCCAAGCCAAATTCTCTGCGTTTCACGTGTGACAGAGTTAGAGAGTGTAACGGTTCAAGTCGTGCGAACATACCCTCTTCTCCTTCCAAACTTGCAAATAGCGCCAAAATTCTCCGATTCACCACCTCTTCCATCTGCTTATCCTTCATCTCCCTTGATTCATCTCCTTCTTCGCCACACACCTCAAATCCGAACTCGTCTCTCTCTAACTTATGACTTCCCATTCTTCGGAAATCTCCGTCGCGTCTCCTTATCACTTTCATAACTTCGAACTACGAGCTTTGTCGTTCCATCAACCCGTCCTTCATTCAGACGCGGACCTCCGTCTCAGATGATTCCCTAACCTCAAATTCATTGCCACTCTCTTTCGAAGGTTCAGAGAACGGCCAAATTGGAAGAACAAAACGAAACAATAAATCTTCATATCTTAAATTAGGTGTTCATCCCTGAGCTTCAGCATTCGAATCCACGGGGATTCGATTGTTCTCTTCTCACTCTCCACAATCGTATGAAGAACGACCAAAAGCGAGGAATATTCATGTACCTTTGATGAAGATAATATCGGGTATTTTCGGTCCTCTCTTTTATCTTCACCTTTTTCTTCTGTTCGCGTCTTCCATCTCGATCCTCAATGAATCTTGATGTTGTGATTCGTCTCTGTTCTTGCAGAATACCGCACTTGCTGTAATACGATTCACAGGATGAATCGAGGGCGAAGAAGATTAAAGATACTTGAAGGATTAACACGATGATGATTGAAGAATGGAGCGTGTGGTTGGTTTTGATTACATAAGGTGGATGAAGTTGTGATTTCTTCATGTTAATGATGCAGGTCATTGAGTTGAAAATGAAGGTTGATGAAGGTGATGAAGAAAGAAGATGGAGATTTCAGATATTTTTGATTCACAGATGAAGAGGATTATGGAAGTATTGAAGCTTGGAAAAAACAAGATGAGAATTCTTCAGAAGGTTATTGAACAAAATGAATATTCAGAGAGAGTAGAGAGGTGAGTCTTTCTGTTTTTTGATTTGTATGAATGAATGATCCATCATGAATCCCTCTCTCTTTTTTTGTTATATGTAATGTCCTTTGATTCATTCCCTTCTCTTCTATTGCCACTTCTGTTAGAAGTTTGTTACGAAGTTTGTTAGAAGTTGGTTATGAGGGCCAGTTGGAATCTGTTAGAATAGGTTGGGAATTATGAATCAGTTAGAAAATTCTGTTGGAGAGTTAAAATGGATATTAATCGGTTAGGAGGTTGTTAGGGATTGAACGGTGAGATTGAGGTTAGGTGCAAACTGTTAGAAGTTAGTTAGAGGTGGTTAGAAAATTTCGTTAGTTGGAGTTGTTAGTTTATTTCTGTTAGACTATTTCTGTTTTTTCTGTCATGGCTCGGTTATAGTTAGAAGTTCTAAAATCAGTTGGAATTCTGTTTTGGTGGTTAGAAAGTCAGTTATGCTTAGAGGGAGTTGGTTTTTTGACAGTTGAAGGGGTGAGAATTAATTGGTTCTGTTATGCAGGGTTGTTGAAAAGATGAGAAAAATTCCGTTACGGTAGTTAAGAGGTTTGAAATTAGTCCTGGTTTATTTTTGCTGTTAGTAAATCTGTTATGGTTTTGGTTAATTGAAACAGAGGTTAGGGCTTAGGCTGTTAGTTGGAAAAAGTTATGAGATTTTCTGTTCTGGTCATTTGATTGGATGTTTCAATGTGAACTTGCATTTTCTATTATTGAATGAGCTTTTCTTTATAATTCTGTTTTTTCTTATTTCGAGCACCACCTTGCATTCTTCTATTTTGCATTTTATGGCTTGTCTTATGCATTTTAATTTCCTCAACCTTGACGTTTTACTTTCAGTTCGTTGAGGCTTCCAAGAGTTGTTTCCACCTGCAGACGCGCACGCTACTAGTTTTTAAACTGCATGGCTGATTGTATGGAGCTGGTATGAATTGAGTCGGTATTGGGATGATAATTCTGACCTGATATGTATTAATATTACAGGTTTTATGAACTGATTTTGTAGGGGCTTGGTTTATTGTTGAATTCAGGGTTGGTTGTTCAGTTGATGGATGTTAGTTAATTGTTTACCTTGGATTTTATGAGCTGGCCCGTTTTGTGTTACGGTTAACTTGTTTTTTTTTTGTCTTTTTTGATATGGCGGTACAAGGCTGAGTATGGCATAAAGAAATACCAAGGCAAAGCAACTTGTAGTTTGAGCTAAGTAGAGGAGAATTTGAATATGGATACTTGGCACGGATATGGAAGCATGAAGATGTTTAGGATATTAGGATTTAGGCTTAGAACAAAAGTTTGTGTAATGAATCTTGTAATGGTTAATTTGAACATGTAAATGATATCTTGAATGCTTGAAAACTTTTTTTGTTCGAAAACCCTTAGATGACTCTTTGTAGGAAACTCTCGATGAAATGGTGAGTAGATTTTGAAATCTATATCTTTTGACTAATTCCTTTTACTCTGGAATGAACTATGGCCATTGTTCTTTAGCTTCACCTTGAACAACTAATCTCTTCTTTAAGTTTGAATTTATCACCATGTTTCAAAGTCCTTCAAATAATTAAAAGAACTTTGTCTCCGAAGAAATCCAAATGATCATGTGAAACATTTTGCCTTAAGATATCCACAAACTTTACTTGATGATATCCAAGTGCATTTTCTTATGAAGCCATCTCCATATGCCTTATGACCCAAGCAATGAACACCACTTCATTTGACAAAAATAGATCAGATGGGACCCTATCTCCAAGGATGAGATCTTCTTGAATTGTGTAATGAATCTTCTCGAAGAAAACCCTAACATCCATGAACACCAACATTAATTCAACAACTTGCACCTTAAGTAAGGACATAATCCCATTGAATGATGGAATTCGCTAAGGGTGAACTTCATAAGGGACCCCCTCTTGAATACCACATGACTAGGGAAATAGACCCTAATTCATACCATGATCGTTGAAGAAACAACTTGAATTGCTCTTGAATGTAGATGAGAGCCTCCAAACAATGGAGAAACCCTAATTACCAAGCTCTTAGATCCTAATGCCAATTTTATTGATTAATGAAGCATGATGCGTTAGGTGACCTAATGAAAGTCATGTACATGTGAGAAGTGCGAGATGAATAAGCCAGATAAAAGTGAGAGGGTAGGACATATTTGGGGTATTATAGATGCCTCTATTTAATCGTCTTAAACCTGAAAGTACGATTGGCGCATGCCTTTCAGAAGTTTGAGGTAGAAGATGATTAAATATCAATGCCAAAAATTTGTTCTGAGAGGAAGTGTGAGTATTTTTATTTTTGCACCATCCACTGGGGAATTCAAAGAGGTGGGACTAAACTGGAATTATACGTCGATCAGGACACGACGACATCAAAGTACATTGATCAGGACACGATGACTCAGAGGAAAAAATGGATCAGGACATGATGATTGAAAGGAAGACATCGATCAGGACACGATGGCTAACAGGAATACATCAATCAGGACACGATGATTCGCAGAAGAGGTATCGATCAGGACACAACAAATTTTTAGAAATTGACACGACGAGTGTTAGAAGGTAGCATGATGCAAACACAAAGGCATAAAAGACTTATAACATGGCGTGATGCCAATACAAGGAAGACATCGAACTTGTAACGTAGCGTGATGCCAATACAAGGAAGAGATCGAGCTTGTAACATAATGTTATGCCAATATAAGGAAGAGATTGGACTTGTAACGTAGCATGATGCCAATACAAGGAAGATATCATACTTGTAACGTAGCGTGATGCCAATACAAGGAAGAGATCAGACTTGTAACGTAGCACGATGCCAATACAAGGAAGAGATCGGACTTATAACGTATCACGATGCCAATACAAGGAAGAGATCAGAGTTGTAATGTAGCATTATGCCAATACAGGGAAGAGATCGGACTTGTAACGTAGCATGATGTCAATACAAGGAAGAGATCAAACTTGTAACGTAGCATGATGCCAATACAAGGAAGAGATCAGACTTGTAACGTAGCATGATGCTAATACAAGGAAGAGATCAGACTTGTAACGTAGCATGATACCAATACAAGGAAGGGATCTTACTTGTAACATAGCATGATGCCAATACAAGGAAGAGATCAAACTTGTAACGTAGCGTGATGCCAATACAAGGAAGGGATCTGACTTGTAACATAGCGTAATGCCAATACAAGGAAGGTATATCACAGACGAGCGTTTGAATCGATACACATGAGTATCGAAGAAAGGTTAAACACGGACGAGTGTTTGAGTTAATACGGACGGGTATAGAAAGAAGATACAGACGGTTATCAAGGAAAGGCTAAACACGGATGAGTGTTTGGGAGACTGAAACAGACGAGTGTTTGGAAACCGACACAGACGAGTGTTTGGAGACTGAATTATTTGTCAAACGGGAACTAGGTTTAGAATGACAAGGTGTATTGATTTTGCTGGGCATTGTGAAGATGAAGGTCATCGATTGGGGATTTTTGGAAGCGATACCCTCTTGTGGGGATGCATTGCTGTCTTTGAATGATTCAGGTCTTTCGTGTAAGGTACCTGATCTAGCTTATGCTTCGTATGCATGTTTGAATTTCTTTTGCCGCAAAGATCCATTTTGATGGATCGACTACGCGCTTTTTAGGATGCAATGTTATGCAATGATAATTATATGCAATGCAAAGAAATAGGCTTCAGGAGGATAAGCGAAGGCATTTTGGGAACTATTGCTCATCACTGGGGATGCCAATACACATTTGCGGTAGAAACCTGTAGTACCGAGGATCACTGGGGATACTGATAAGAATTTTCATTGGGGAGCTCATGATACCAAAGATTATTGATGAATCTGTTGGAGATTGAATTGATGACGAAGCGAGTTTACAGGTACGCCACTGAATTCTGAATTGTATTATTGGGGAAGAGATACTTTGGCCAGACTTCCATACATCTTGAACTGTTGAGAGGATGGTAGAGTTGAATATGCCGAAGAATGGGTACTGGACACCGTGTGGATATCTTCGAATACATGTCCCAAGTTTACACCACACTGGGGAATCACCTCTTGAGTCACTTGGGGATAAAAGACGGGCATGGACACCTGTGAATGCCCCAGTTTAGCTCTGTGAGTTCCCCAGTTTAGCTCTGCGAATGCCCTGGTTTATCTTTGTGAATTCCCCAGTTTAACTCTGTGAATGCCCCGGTTTAGCTCTGGGAATGTCCCGATTTAGCTCCCCTGGGGATACACTTGATTAACTCCACTGGGGATGCACTTGTTTAGCTCTTGGGGGATGTGTACTTGCACATGCCAGTCAAGAGACGACTCTGAACTTTCTGAATTCACTTGGGGAATCAGGTTTGAAGTTGTCTACAATAGATGAAGGCGGCTTTGTGCGCTGGCTAGGTCAGGGTGACCGCTATAATGCTTTTAGCTTGATTGTAGTCGTCTCGTGCAACATAATTGGCTTGAGAAACTTTGCAAGTACGGATGAGGAATCCCCCTGCCTGTGGTATTTCTGAAAGAATTTGTGCTGAATATAAGATCAGAATATTCTTGCCATAATAAGATATGAGGTGACCTGCCCCAATCTCTTGAATCATGAAATAAACTGCTCTTGATTACAACTTTCTTGGAGAGATTTGTCGAATCTCGACGTAACTTCCACAGGTTGAATGAATTCTGAATAGATTTCTTAATGTAATTTCCCCTGATTGATGACAACTTAAAGAGATTTATCGACGTGATATCCTCTGATTGATATTAGCTTGAAGAGGTTTATTAATGTGATAGCTTCTGATTGATATTAGCTTGAAGAGA